ATATATATATATATATATATGTGTGTGTAAGTTATTTTTATTTATTTATTTATTTATTTAATCTTTCACACTGTTTCCCGGCCAGAAAATGGTGAGAGACATTAATTTTTTTTTGGGGGGGGGTGGGGCTTCCTCCATCCTTGTGTTCTTTTTTTCTCATCTGCCTGTATGTTGTATGTAATCGGGTCTTTCTTGTAAATGAGTTTTTGAGGCTCAGTGGGAACTAACCTGTATAAATAAAGACATAATAATAACAACAAGAATAAAATAATAATAATAATAATAATTATTATAATTGTGGGGAACCAGATTTGGCCCACGGCTCTTGAGTTTGACATATATGTAAGTACCTCAAATGTTTTTTCTTTTCCATCTTCCTCTTCTTCACCTTCCGCACAACTCTGAAAGAAAAAAGTTATACTCTGAAAATTTTGTAGAAAAGCACTCAAGAGGTTTAGGAAAAGCTCATTTCTGATATTTTTACTGTGTTTACAGTGGCAATAAAGCTGTTCTGAAATGAGATACCTTTGCCATCATGTCTGCATAGGCAATATACAAAGGATCTTCTGCCAAAGAACTAAAAAAGAAAAATCTTGTTAGATTGTATCTGTAAATAATAAACTGCATCCATAAATTTAGAGCAACATTTCTGACAACACAAAGTACTATAAACATTTTATAAATATGGACAATTAATGTCTAATGCTCTCTTTATGAGCTGAAAACAGAGCCAAAACAACCATGTTTCACAGATGGAGCAACTTGTGCAGGTGCCAGATGGCCAGATGTGAAAGTGAGTGTGTATTTACCTGCACTCAGTCAGAGCATTGTGGCTGAAATGCAGAATAAGCTGGTGAAGAGGGTCGGGCTGCTTTCTGATCTCCTCCTCCTCCTCTTCTTCCACTTTAGGCTGCGTTTTCTAAACAAGTCGTCTGAATCAGCAGTGCAGGTAAGGCACATACTCTCATATGCACATTAACATAAACTCTGGGTGCAGAAATAGTTAGTTGTGTCTTTGCAGAGTCAGGTTTGATTATAAAATAAGAATCTAAAGCATGCACTGAACAGAACACGTGCATACTGATGATAACATTAGATGCACATTCAGAAACATGAAGTCACTCACAAATGATTAGGTTCAGCAGAGTTTAATATGGTTTGAGTAAAGCATGAGCTTCTTGTCATTTATACAGTAATCTGTCATTTAAACCCAAAGTAAAAAAAAAAAAAAACTTTTGTCAGTCTTGACCTAGTCAAGACTTAGTTATTTCTTGTATATATTAGAACTTTTTTATATATATATTTCATAATGATGTTTTGAGTTTAGTTTTATGGTTACATTTGTGAAACACTGTTTTGTGAAATGTGATGGACCTGAATTTATTTCCAGAGCATTTAAAGAAATGCTTATATTTCAGGTTTGTGAGTATGCCTGAGAAATCTGGGAAAACCAAAGAAAAACACAACAGTATAGTAAGAAACACAGCTATATATATACTTTGTATGCACACACACACACACACACACACACACACACACACACACACACACAC